GGGCATGGGTGGTTCCCTGGACCAGGTGAGGGTGGTCTGAGCCTCCTTGAGCCAGGGCATGGTCAATTCGAAATATAATATTAAGTCATATATTTTCTGTGAGTTCTGAACTTTTCCTAACTCTAGTCTGCCTCAATATTAATTTTTTTAGGAAAAAAATTAATCATATTTAAAGGTAAACCTGAGCGAAATATAAACTTCTATCTTTCCAAAATTTGTTAAGAGATAACTATAGTTAAAACTTCTTCTGTGGTCCTCGGGCTTAAACTCAGGGGCTTGTACTTGGCTAGGCAGGCATTCTACCACTTGATCCTCTCCACCAGCCCTATTGTATGCATGAAGAGGAATATCTCAATGGTAGAGTGCTTACCTAGAGTGTGTGGGGTTCTGAATTTGAGCCAAGCACTGCAAAATAGTCAAACATAATACATCCTTTTCTAAGTTTTCAGTGAGGAAATCCTTCTCTGTTGCAGTCAGTGCTTATTTGTCAATGTTGAAACCTTCCTGGTAGCAGTTCTCAGTGTGTGTAAGGTCCCTACCTCCCAGAGCTGTGGTGCAGTGGTTCCCATGCAGCTGTGGGGTGAGGTGGGGATGTGGCCCAAGAACTATGGAAGATGCTGCAGATGACCATGCTCTGCCATGGTCATAGACACCAAAGGGGTCCTGTTTTGCCATTTGATCTTAGGGGTAGAACCAGTCACTAGACTAAAGATTCTCTGAGTAGAACCTTGGCTGGAAGAGGGAGGTTTCAATCAAAGAGGTCAAAGAGAGAAGTGTGTTGTGAGTACTGTTTTTCTGAGAGAGGAAACCTGCTTTCAAATGGTATTCAGATGGAGGCTAATAACAAAGCTGGTGGAAGGGTGGTGTAGGAAAGTGCAGGAGACTGCACTTGGTCTATCTAGTTTCTAGTTTTGGTTTGTTTTTTCACAGTCAATCAAAAGGTGAAAACAGTGGAGGTCCTGAGGCAAGCATTGTATAGAGTACTATGGAGTAGCTTGGGGTTAGGAACAGAGGTAAGCTACTGGATCCTCGTTTAGACTCATTTGTTTGTCCATTTAGCAAACTACTAAGGGAAGTGATGAATAAAAGACACTCTGAGGACTCCTGAAACGGGGGACAGAGATTGTAACATTGTTCAGTGCCTTTGTCCTCAATTGTAGCACAGGTTGGTATGACTCCTGAGGAAGTGGTGTTCTTTGGCGTAGATGGAGGATCTCATCTTCTTTGATGGGTGCCACTGCTGCTGTGATTGCTGGGATGTGGGCAGCGTAGCCACCCACCCTTGGTGAATGGTTTTTGTGTCAAACAAAGGTGGGGTGGCATGGACATCAAAGGCCAGGGGCAAGTCCTCATCAGTAGATGAGATCATCTGGGGACCTACTGCATGCTGTGGGATCCTAATGCCTGAATCTTTCTACACCTCATTTATGTCTCACACAGGTGCTCTGTCAAAGCTGGCTTGTATGGCTGGGAGCTGGGGCTTCTAAGCGGTCTGACCACTCAGCACAAGGTCTTGCTGAGCCTGTCCTTTGCTTGAGGATGCTTGAGACCTCAGCACATTGTCCCTCCTTCTTCTTTCCCTTGAACCATCACTTCTTCCTGACTCCTCTGTGACCATAGCCACTTTCCTTCATCTGGGCTACTTCGTTAATGAAGCCCATTGGACCCTCACTACGAATAATGAAGAACATAGCTTAATATTTTTCTTTGGGAACATGGGGGGTTGGATTAAGTATACCCAATGGATAGTTTCAGCAGTTTAAATACAGGTCTTGTTAGTTCACTTATTCATTTTGCCAAAATCTGGTTGGGGAGGGAAAGAAGCATTTGAGGATTTTCAGCTATGGATATCCCATATTTCATCTAAATTGTTTTGGGATCATTGAGTAAGATGATCCCAAATGATCCCAAAAATTAAAGGTTTGACCAAAGAAAACCCTTTCTTTCCTCCCGAGGGAGGGCTTCCACATACTGCAGAATTTTCATCTTATTCTGGGTCATCATTTCTGACTTTCTGGGTCCTTCTGCACTCTTTTAAGTTTTGTGTGGGCTGATGGCCTGGAAGGGATTTGGCTTTTAGTTGGAGAATCAACCTATGCAAAATTTAAAGTACAGTTATTCCAGTCCTTTGATTGCACTGCTAAGCAATGACTTTTATGTTTGTGGGGTACATTCCCAAAGATTTGCTATAGAAAAAGACATAACTGTGTTTTGAATCATTATGATTCAGACTTGTGAACCTGAGTCTTCAAGGAAAAAAAAATCACTTATATGTGTATATTACTTAAATATTTTGTAGCTGCAACTTAGTGTACAAAACAATTTTAGACATGTATAATTTCCTTCTCTTTTTAAGTTCACATAGAAAATATTAATTTCTAGATTTATAGCATTTGTGTCTGTTGAAAGGTATTAAGGGGAAATTTTGTATGATTTTCTTTATATGAGGCATGCAGAATTGGCAAATCCATAGAGACAGAAAATGGGAGAGAGGGTACCAGGGGCAGAGGGAACAGAACAGGAGTTACAATCTAAAAGGTACAGAGGTTCTGCTGGGGATGGTTAGAAAGTTTTTAGTGTAGATTGTGATAATGGGTCCTACATTGTGACTAAGTTTAATGCCACTGAACTGCACACTTCAGAATGGTGAAAGTGATAAGCGTTGTGTGTGTGAGAACTTGTACCTTGGAAAACCCTTGACTTCTAAGAAGATACAGCTACACAAACACGTATTAGTACATTCTTCAATAAACAACTAGCTCGATGAAGTTACAAAAAGTTTTCTTCCTTGAAGAAAAAAACTTTTCTTGGACGTTGGGGGGAGGGGGGAGTATTTTCAAACATGGAACACTTGTCTGAAATCTGTTACAGACGTTCATGGGATTTGGATTAATTTTGTCTCTTCCTCACTTCATTAGGTAGCGAACCAAAGGTGGATTAATTTTTGTCTTCGGAATTGTTTTTTCTTTTTACCTTGATGAATTTTGTCTTGTGGCAGTCATCATTTATAACTTAAAACAGAGCTGCATGAAAAATAAAGGAACAGCTGTGTGCTTGCTGATGTGACAATGTGAACCTAAGGTTTACAGCTGCCTGTTTAAAATGGCCACATTAACAGGACGGTGGCACTAAAGTACCTTCAAGGAAGTTCCTTACCTTAGACCCCGCAGCTCAGCGACCCTTTGGTCCCCCGTGGGGCGGGGCCCGCGGCGCGCACACCCTGTGTCAGGCTCTGCGTGGCGGGGCGCGCCTGGCGCGGGGGTGTGAGGGTTGGTTCGGCGTCCCTGGAGCCGAGCCGAGCCCACGCGCAGCAGCCACACTCACGCGCGGCGCTAGGGAGCCGGGAGCGCGTGGCCGAGGGCGCGGGCCCAGTGCGCAGCATTTTCCTAGTTTTCGCCTCACAGGCTAGAGCACCTGGCAAAGTTCGGTGGTGGCCTAGAAGAGGAAGGCTTGCCAGGGGTGTGGGGAAAACCTCAGTTAAGATGGCAGAGTCAGTCCACCTAAAAATCAGCGTTTCTTACTTCCATCCCAACAATAAACCACATAAAAAGCGGCTCACGCCTGTAATCCTAGCCTTTAATCCTCCTGATCTCTGTTTGAAGCCAGACCTGGCAAATAGTTCACAAGACCCTATCTCGAAAAAAGGGCTGGTGGAGTGACTCAAGGTGTAGACCTTGAGTTCAAGCCCCAGTACCACAAAAGAAAAAAAAAAAAGCAACAGAGAAAATGTTCAAAGGGAAATTCCTTAGGTCAATTAAATTTATAGTCTGTTTAAGCAAAGGAAAGCTGCACAAGGATAAAACAAAAATAGCCCATAGCAGAGGGCTTGCCTAGCATGTGTGAGGCCTTGTGTTCCATCACCAGCATTGCAAAAAGCAAAACAAGACAAGATTGCAGAGTGAGGCTGCTCTCAGGAATTGAGAGCTCCCACTGATAACATGATGGGACAACATTCATGGAAACCCATGGGCTATAGCTTAACCAGGTTGTTTGGCCAATTACTTAATTGGCCTCAGGCCTCCTGCAGCCTTCTGGGGCTCCTGAGCTTCATTGCAGCTGCTGGTTGGGTCTCCAGTAGGTCAGTGTAGGTGCCCAGGCCAAATTTTCCATCCCCCAATCTTCACTGAACATATACTGTAATCACTCAAGTGTTTTTTGAGCAAATGAAAAGTTAATAAGATATATATCAGGTCCTCTGTTTAAAAGATTTAGAAGCCTTTAATAGATAGGAAGATATATTGTGTTCTTAGATCCCAATTAAAATTTTCAGGATTGTTTTTCTTTGCAAGGAGGCTAGGAGAAATTGATTACATATGTATCCAGGGCAAGTTTGGCTTTCCTTGTTTTTTTAGTAAAAGGTGAGGAATGTCCTGCCTAGCAGGTGTTGTCACAAAGTTAAAGGCCAGACAGAGAATGGAAGCCAGCAGAGCATGGTGAAAAGGCTTGGCATGCATGTGTTTTGGTTAACCATGCAGGTGGACTGGAGGGTCTTCCATTTTCTGGCCTGGGTCCACCTGTGAGGAAGGCAGACAATCTGCTTTTAAGTGGCAGGAGACTGAACAGAAGCAAAGCTGGGAGCCATAGTTGTTGCAGGAGGTGTCTGACTGCTCTTGACTGTCTCTTGATGGCACAGCATGGTGTAGCATTCAGGAGCCATGTTCAGAGTCAAGGGATAATGGGCTTCTCAGGTGGAGCAACTGTTGCACTGAAGCCAGGGGACGAGTGTAGGGAAGAACCTGCTGCATAGGTGGAGGCCTGCAGCAATGGGACAGCGGGAAAGGACATGCCTGTTTGAAGACCAGAGCGGCAGGAGGTGAGCTAAGTGGGGAGTTGGGGTCAGGTCATGAGGGACTTGAGGTTAAGCTAAAGATCTGGACCCTGTGCAAAAGGGAATAGGGAACCATTTCTGGATTTTTAAGCAGGTGACAACCTGAATGTGCACACCTGGTGTGTATCAGCATTGTTGTAACTGACAGGCCAACTCCATCTTCTGCTTATAGCCCACAGCTCCTTGCATACAGGAGTTCCTCACCCTGCTGGCTGTGTGTCACACTGTGGTCCCTGAGAAGGATGGAGATGACATTATCTACCAGGCCTCCTCTCCAGGTGAGAGCTCTCGATGGATGTGTCCTGCCAGCCCCTTCCCTGAAGTCTTGGGTATTTTGCAATTATTTGTGGGCCTCTGACCTCACACCATCTCCAGATCATGGTTACAGGTGTTCAAACCCAAGAGAACTGGTGGTGGACTCTCCTGACTCTTTGACAGCAGGGAAAGACCTGGGCCACCTTGCATTTCCCAAGAGTTACTGGTCTGGACAGAGCTCTGGAGAGAGAACAGGGCCACATGTCATGGATTTTCCCACTGGTGGGGAAGCCATGTATTGGAGCAATGACTCTTTGCCAACTTCCTGGTCTCTGAGTCCCATAGTACTGCAACTAAAGCATGGGCTTGCTCGGAGATGCTTAGTCAGTGAGCATTTTACCTAAGTTGATTAGAGAGAACTTAGCAGCAACCCAGAATAGGGGGAGTGTAATTCATTGTTCTCCCTCTAATGTGAATTAGCATTGGGTCTGCGTCCTCCTAACCCAGCACAAGTCCTCATTTTAGACCCTGGTGGTAGGAAGAGTGAAGTGCTCCTGTTCCCCAATCCTTGTTCTTATGCAGATGACACAAAACCTCCTTAATCACGGTGGTTTTGAGAAATGACACTTGATAGAATTCTGTTATGATGAGGGATTCATCTGTATTTTGCCAACTTGTTGTTGACAGACGAAGCTGCCTTGGTGAAAGGAGCTAAGAAGCTGGGCTTTGTCTTCACAGCCAGAACACCCTACTCGGTCATCATAGAGGCGGTAAGGGACACATTTGCACATATTCTTGAGCCCCTACCTTTTGGAAGGTTGCATATTTGAAATAGTATGTCTATTGTAAATGTGATAGTTAAATTTCTGTATGTCTTTTAGTGAAAAATTAGACTTGAAACATTCGATGGTAACCGAGGTTGCTATGGGATTGTATGAGTTTATTCCTGTTGGTTTGCATTGCAATAATCTCTCCCTCTTAAAGATGCTTCAAACTGTTTGTAGCAAAGAACTTTTCAAGTTTCCTGTTTTCTAAAAGTTGGGAAGTAGCTTCATGATTTGGCTATCTCTGAGCCCCAGTCCAGTGGGGCTCCATGTCTTTGGCAGTGACAGAAGGAAGTTAGAGCTTAAGACCTCTCTTATCTATATGAGTATTTCCCCCACTGAAATCAAGGGGTTTATGTATTTTCTGATTTTTTAATTTTCCTCGCTACAGGCTAGAGAGAGAAATTTAGTGATGGGGAGAGCAATTTACAGGTTCAGTATCCCTTATCCATAATGCTTGGGACCAGAAATATTTTGGATTTCAGATTTTTAGATCAGATTTTGGAATATTTGCATATACATAATGAGATATCTTGAGATAGGACCCAAGACTAAACATGAAATTTGTTTACATTTCATACACCGTATTCACACAGGCTGAAGGTAATTCTTCACAGTATTTTTAATGTATCTGTGGTGTGACTGTGACCAGCAGGTCAGGTGTGGAATTACCTATTCATGTCATCATGTTGCTATTAAAAATGTTTCCGATTTTGGGGAGTTTTAGATTTTCAGATTAGGGCTGCTCAACCTGTATCAAGTATAAGGTCACACAAGGCCACACAGGATAGACTGCAGGTGAAAAGGATGGTGAGGATTGGCCAGATGGAAGGGTGGTGTTGTACTGCTGTCTGGGTTGACAAGGGCTTGAGCACAGTCAATGACTTCCCTCACCTCTGCCTTTGTCCACCCCTCAATTTGAGGAAACTCATGGACTTTGATAGTTTTTTTTGGTCTTAATGTATCCTTAAGTCTATAGGCCCCTTGAATGAACTTGAAACTTGCTTCCAAGTGGTATAGTAAACTGATATTGTTCCTGAGTTGGGAGTAGTCAGTTTTTTTTCTTTTACTTATAAAATAGGAAAGCCTATAAAATGTACCTTATACAAAGTGTCCATTTTTGGTCACTTTTACTTTCTTTTGGAATATAAAGATTGAATTGTGATTGTTTTACTTTATTTCAACCAATAGAGGGAAGGTAGGTAGGGAACTGTGCAGTCATTAATAGCAGAATGATGTACTGATAATGAATTTCCTGCATAGTTACTTTTAAAAAAATGAAGTCTTCTCTGTCAGTTTCAGGAGAGTTTTAACCCAGCCATAGGATTATTGGTTGTATTGATGCTGCTGGATGTCTCTAGATTGCACAAACAAGGTGGGGCCATGGGTAGGCTGAGCACTGATGGAAGTACAGTATATACTGCTTGGCTTACAGTTCCAGATAAACATGGGGAGCAGAGAGCCTATAGCAAGGTCATCACAGTGCTAAAAAGCCAGGTTGGCACTGTTTCATTACTTTATTAAAGTAATATTTACTTCCACATTTCTAGAAGTAATAAAAGACTGCCTGATTAGATTTCACAAGTAGTAATTATTTTAAAAAATCCCATTCAACCATTAATTCTGAGACATCATCAAATATTAAATTCTCTAGTTAGCCACCAGTACTTACATGAAATGTCCTTGCAGATTTGGGTAGCAGCTGAGCACGTGGTTGGTGATTTTTGTAAGTGGTACAAAGACTAGGTGGCTCATGGCAGGGAGCAGAGTGGTGGCAGTGGGCACTGTCCAATAGGGTTCTGATAGAACTTGGACTGCTGAGGAGAAGGCAGAAGGTGGTGATTCAGAGAGGTGAATAAGGGCTGAGGAAGTGGGCCATCAGTTGTATTTTAGGATGTAATGAAATGGGGTGGAACCTAAGAGAAGAGTACTGTTACCATTCGTAAGAAAATCACAGTGTCAGAAACTGTACTCAGACTCACATTGTTGGACTGGAGAGGCCATACTGTTTTTACTGTGGTATGTTAGAGAAATGGAGAACAGATCATATTAAAATGTTTGAAAGTAGCACACACAGAATCTGAAATTTTCCAAATGGAAAAAATGTGAATATTGACATTCTAACTTGAAAGAATGGTAAGAAAAAGGGCATTTGCTCGATTAATTGCTCTAAAACCAGATACAGATTTATAACCCATATCTATAAATCTCAAATCTCCAAATTATTGAATTCCAAGTTTCACCTCTAAGTTTGGGGAACAATCATTTAGTAGCAAAACCGAATCAGAACCAGCTTGACTTATGTATGGTCCTTATGACTGTCAGAGTGATGCTGCAGAAAGTTTACCTGTTGTACAAAGGGTACTACCCTAGACCTTGCTGGGACGTTATGGTAATATACTCCACACATAGACCTCTATAAAATGTATAAAATCCTAAGTTCATTAGCATAGGTGGCCCCAAGGTTTTTTTTTTTTTTAGGGGAAAAGTATTCATTTTGTTCATGGCTTTAGAGGCTCCAGACCACCATGGGAAAGGAAGGTGTGTTTGAGCAGCTCACATCATGGTGGCCAGGAAGCAAAAGCGAGAATGTCTGAGCTTTCCAGCTTTCTCCGTTTCTGCCTTTTATTCCATCTGGGTTCCCAGCCTATGGGATAGTGTCACACACATTCAGGACAGGTCTTCTTCCCTTATTCAGTATCTGCAAACACCCTCACAGACACACCCAGAGGTGTACTTTACTAATCTACTAGGCTCTTCTCAGTCCAATCAAGTTGGCAATGAAGATTAATCATCACAAATCTTTCCCTTGTGAACCAGACATCCAAACACATCTTAAACCATAGTATTCTATCCCCTAACTCCCCAAATGCTCGTGTCCCTCTCATAATATAAAATGAATTTAGCCCATCTTCAAGAGTTTCCATAGTCTTAAGGGTTCCAGCATTGCTCAAAAGTCTTAAATACAAAGTGTCTTCTAAAACTCAAAGCAAACTCTTAATTGTGAGCCCCTGTAGAATAGAAAATGAGTTACATTCTTCCAAGATAGAGTGGTACAGAGTGAACATTTCCATTCCAAATGGTAGGAATAGGAGAATAGCTAGGAAGAATCAAAACAAAGCAAGCCCAAAACCCAGCAAATACTAAATCCTATAGCTGCGTGTTCAGCATCCAGGGCACTTGGTGACATGATATGAGCTCCAATGGCTTGGGCATCCCCACCCCTATGGCTTTGCCATTTGCAGCCCCCATGGTATATCTTTTGGGCTGGCTCTGCTCATGCTTGCAACTTTCCTCAGCAGATGTTCCAGTTCCTACTAGAGTCCTCATTCCCATGACACCTCATGAGCACAGTCTTTACTGTTTACAGGCTTAGCATTCTGGTCCTCTGAGTTCCCACACAATTGTCCACTAAGCTTTGCTTGCAATATTCTAGGGCTTCTCTAGCCTGTTTCTCCAAATGGTCCCAAATTCCTCCTGCAAATTGAAAACCATATTGAAATTCTCCCATCAGTTTCAAAACCATATTGCCAGGTAGCTACAACAACAGCCTTAGTTGTCTGGTGCCAATGCTTTTCTTGTTGTTGTGACAAAATACCCGGAAGGAAAAAATCTTAAGGAAGGAAGGATTTATTTTGCTCAGTTTCAGAGGTTTCAGTCCATCATGGTGGGAAGGGCATGGTGGAGCAGCTCACATCATGGCAGCCCAGAAGACAGAGAATACACGGGCTCCTGGCCCCAAGGTTTCTGATGGTTTTGTATAGTTTGTGTCTTCTGTCTTCATCACTTGCAAGTAGCTACACCAGCCAACTGCTAAGAAAGCCATATAACTGAAGGAAAATGAGAAGCTTCTACCAGAAGAGGGAGCTCCAGGCTTGTGACAAAAATACACACTGCAAATGTGTTTGCAGGTGGCTGAAGGATGGAAAGGTTTGTGTGTAATTTGTGTGTGTGTATACCTCCACGTTGATGATTGGAGTACAAGTGCTGTGACATTTTAATCTTTGCATCTCAGGTAAGAGCCTGTTTGTTTGTTTGTTTTTTCCTTATAGATGGGACAGGAACAGACATTCGGAATCCTTAATGTCCTGGAATTTTCCAGGTGTGTTTCTGTTTCATACATTTGAAATGAAATATTTTTAATACTTATCTATCTATCTACGTTCATATAATATGTATTTAACAACTTCGTGTGCATGGTTGTATGGTATGATTAAGTGCTAAATATGGTAAATATGCATGTACAAACCCTCTTCTTGTTGGAATTTGTGACTTTCATTAAAGACAGGGAAGTAGGTCATTTTTCTGTATTTTTACGTTCTTTGTGCCCTCATTTTTCTTTAGCCATCCAAAGCCTAATGTTGTAGTATCAGTAGCTGCAGTTGGGTGTATATGGGTTGGAGCATGCAGTGAGGGTATTGTTTTCATTGGCCTTTCCTAGGTCCCCTTAGGTCATGCCTCCTGCTCCATCTGAGCAATGTTCCTGAGAGCTGAGAAACTGACAGATGATGACAGATAAGATCAGTTTTTTTCATCACAGAGTTCTGGTTCACATAGGACCATCCTCCTTTACATAATCCAAAGCTTTTCTCCCCAGCAGTTTCTCTAAGACCTAAGAATATTTGTTGTATTCTGTGTTCCTCTGGAACATTCTTAGTTTGTTACAAGGAATCACATCTTAATGTTTGTTCCTTTCTTTCTTTTGAATATTGGATTGTCAATACTGTTACTATGTCAAAAGCATCTTTTCCTGTTACTGAAAGTAGATGGATTTTCAGTTACTATTGTTAAATGATTCAAAAATGGTTGGCCCACACTCTTTATTATGTATGATAAAGGTCAACTTTTAAAATCCTCTTATAGGAAATGCTTTCCTGCCCCTGTATTTAGCTTTAGGACTCCAAACTTAAATGTTGGTGGATCAGGAAGCCCTTGGGGTTGGATGGTCAATGAGAGAGGCAGGGGATGGTTAACGACAACAATTGTTCCTGTGTGTGACGGTCACAGGCATACTGGACATGTCTCAAGATGTTTTTTGTGTCCTTAAAAGTTTCTTGTGGGAAACTGTGCTGCTTTGTGTCTGCATTAACTGGAACCAGCAGTTAATAGTCAGACAAGGAGGAGGAAGGGAGTTAGATAAAAGGAAGTGAATGTGCATGGAAACATGAGGATGCCTTTTTAAAAAGTTATGAGAAAGTAAGATCAGTTGTGGTTACAATTGTTCTGTTTCTTGTTCGTTGACTCATCTCTTTTTAGAGGCCACTTAATCCTATTAATACTCTTTAGAGTAGTTGGTGGTAATCTGCTTTATACATTGAGAAACTGAAACACAACCAAGGTGACTTTGCTAAGAGTTCCCAACTACAAGGTGCTGAAAACTCAGGCTAGAGAGAGTGCTGTGCCTCATAATGTGGGGATACAGATCCAAGGAGTTGATGTCCCATTCTTTGGAGCTTACAGTCCAAGGGAATCACCAAATGGAAAGGCCAGAGAAGTAAGCATCTGGGCCCACTGTAGTTGGGGTGTGTTTCAGAAGGATGAAGTGTCAGCAGAGGCACTGACCAGCTTGCATAGGCAAGGAGAGTGGCAAGGATCACATGCTTGGAGCCTGGTGATGTGCATAAGGTTTAGCAGGGGAAGAGGCAGGACTGCAGAGGTATGTGGACAGCAGGAAGAAGATTTTAGGCAGTGGGAGGCACTGAAGCTCAACGAGTGGGGATGGACCATGGTGACTATGTGCAAGGAAGTACCTGTGCTGCAGTGAGAAGAGAGCAAGGAAGTGCATTACTGCTGAATTAGGAACATTCTATGATCAGTTCTTTCCTTCTACTACAATGAAAAGAGCCAATGAAGTGCATTGAATCTTCCCTTTTGCTCCTTGCTGGGTATGTTGCTTGATGTTTTTGAGCCATAACACAGGGAAGAATACTTGCAGATAGTACTGTCAGAGTCAATTAGATGCACATGGCCCATGCTCACATTTTCTATTTTTACCTTTTCTGCAAACAGCTGTGCAGTGAATTCTCGTGGCAGAGCAAGAAATGGGTTTATTAGATATAAATAAGAATAGTAAGAGGTATGTAATTGAAGTCCTACTTTTGTGAAAAAGGTATTCTAAAAAAGGAGCTTGGCCATTTCTAGGATTGCTGGCAATCAAAATGAAAAATTTTCATCAAAATGAAAGTCTTGCTTGGTATTTAGTTACAGGATATGGGTCTTATAAAACAGACCAGTGACAACTATCTTTTTAAACTCTTACAGTGACAGAAAAAGAATGTCTGTGATTGTCCGAACTCCGTCAGGACAGCTTCGACTCTACTGCAAAGGGGCTGTAAGTATCAGCAAAGCGTCTCCCATGGCAAAGGGCCCTTGGCGCTACTTTGTGTGTGTACTGCTTCTCCTAACTGCTGTTCTTAGCTCGACTGTTGCCCAAGGTTGAACTCTCTTTCAAGTCAGCTCTAAAGCTGACATGTATTAAAAGGCCACTGTAGATAGTGAGGTAAAGACGAAAAGCTCACTTGTACTCAGTAGTTGGTTTTAGAAACCTGCTCGGTGCGTCTCGAAAAATCTTTGGTGTATGAATTCCCTCTGTCATCTGTGTCTCTGTAGAGGTTATTTGTGTTGACCTGGAATAATCTTTAAGTACTCTGCTAGGTGTTCTCTAGCAGCTGTTCTTAATTGTTGTGGTTTATGTTTTTATGCATTGCTCAGAGCTGTGTGGGTGTACAAGGATGGTGTCCATGTGCAGCTAAGTTTTTACTGCTTTTTTGGGTTGTTTTCCTAAGTCAGGTTTTCTGTCCTGTGTCCCTTCTAGTAACCAGACTCCAAAGTGTTATCTCTAAGAAAAGATATCATTGCTTATGAATCTTACTTATAAAACTTTGTCCTATTATATAGTGATCTTACGGGTTGAGGGAAGCAGTTATTAGGCTTATTTTAGGAGACCATGAAGACTATGACATGAGTATCAGTGGTTAGTTGCAGATTTTACTAATCTTTACTGATGGTGGGGGAAAAAGCACTATGATTAGGGCTTTTTAAAAATAAGCAGTGCATAGGACTTCTAAAGGCATTAGATCTGGACCCACAAAAGAATTCTGCTTTTATAACATCTTAAATTAAGGTCATCAAGGTTATAGTTTTACAGGCTAAACTTTGTTTATGGACTTTTTGTTGTATTATCATTACCCCAGAAGTGCTTGGTCAATGTGAGGTAGCACAGAGAAGAAGGCTATAAACTGAACAGTGGAAATATGAAAACTTTTTTAGCACTGACATTGCATAAGCAGCAAAGTCCACAACTGACCTCATAAAATGGGTCATGGCCAAATCATGGGCAAACTAAAAGTGCTGTTATGAAAGCACCTCAGGTTCTGTGTAAATGGTGTTTATGAAACATAAATGAATTTCACGTTTAAGCTTGGGTTCCCTCCCCAAGATATGGCATCATGTTTATATAAATATTCCCAAAATCCAAAATCTGAAGCATTTCTGGTCCCTAGCATTTCAGATAAGGGTACTCAGCCTTTATATGCTTCACATTGTGAGTACTTGAACGTGTGCAAAGGTCTGCACTGTGACCCCGACCAGTGTCCCAGCTTCCAGGCTCCTTACCATGCATTTTTGTTTGACTTTTAAGATATGCCAGAGATTCTGGCTTTGTTGAGGACATCCATACCCAATTTTTTCCCCAAAGCTTGTACGTAAGCCCAGCCCAGAGCTCTGTTCTTACTAGTCCTGAAAAGTACTTTTATGTATAGTGGTGAACTCTATTATAGAACAAAGCCATGTTTAACATGCCAGCTGGGAGATGTACTCAAGAGTTTGCCAAGTCTCAGTGAATGCTTCCCTATTTTATAGGATAATGTAATTTTTGAAAGACTTTCAAAAGACTCAAAATACATGGAAGAGACTTTATGCCACCTGGAATATTTTGCCACAGAAGGTAAGTAAAACTTGAAGATGTTTTTTTTTGACCCTTGAAGTTGTACTTTAGAAGGTTTAAATGGCAGCTGAATGGGTAGGCATTCATGTTCTGAATAGATGTGTCCTTTTTGTGTAGTACTTGGCTTGCTTCACAGGAGTCTACTCTTCAGGCACTTTCCCTGCCCCCTCCCACTTCCACATTCTGTGTCTATGGCATTGACAAAGTCCAAACTCAGTTACCTGTATACAATTCTATATACAGTAGGAGAAGGCAGACTGGCTCACAATACAAAGAACCATCTTGCAGTCAGTCACATTTTCTGGAAAATACAGGTGATCATTCCCTGTCCCTCTCTTATTATCCTTTGGACACTGGCATATCCATGTCTTACGGAGCCCATAGTGAGCAGGAAAGGAGCTCTTTTGAAGCCTCCAGACAATAATGTCAGATTTTCCTGCTAATGAATGTGGTGATAGCTGGAACCATGCTTTAGTGCTGACTGCTGTTTTTTTGCCATCAAGTGTTCCCATGGGTCCACACATGAGTGTGCCTGCACACAAGCACACATACACAGAGCTGCATGGGCTCAGCTGCTTGTAAGCCCAGCTCTTGCATATGCTAGCCCATTAGGCCTTTTGTTGCTGTTTTGAAACATACTTCCTGTCTCCTCTACTTGCTGATACCTGCCTACTCTACACCTGGATCATAACAGCTTCTGTCACCCTTTGCTGTGGAAAACGCACTCTCAAATTTATAGAAGAGTGGTTTGTATCAGAATACTTAGAGTTGTTTTAAATTTCCCTTTGTAGACTTGAGAATGTTGAGTTGGAGTGACTAAAAAAAAGCAGATGGTTTCTTTAACCTTTTCGAGCATGCTGATATGAAAGCCGTGTGGTGCCCTGTAGGCAGTGATATAGTCTGCTTATCCCCACTCACCAGAGACTGTCTTGCAGGATTGCGGACTCTCTGTGTGGCCTACACTGATCTCTCTGAGAATGAGTATGAGGAGTGGCTGAAAGTCTATCAGGAAGCCAGCATCATATTGAAAGACAGAGCTCAGCGGTTGGAAGACTGTTATGAGATCATTGAGAAGGTACCTACACATGGGCTGTCTCTGCCCATTGAAGGAATTAACCATCTAGTCAGCAAAGCCTTTGAACAGGAATCCTTTTGCTATATAGTGATGCTGCCTTCGTTGTCTTAATGAACCATCAGCTTTTAATTATTTCTTTGCTCTGAGAAGCGCTTAGTTTTCATGGGCTATTGGAAAGGTGTAGCTACCCTCAGCTAAACATTAATGATATATTAATTTAAAAAGGCCAAAAGCAGCATTGATGGCTTTCTGGCTGAATTAAGAATAGGCTTAATGAGATAAGCTCACCTTGTCGAGTTCCATGAGCAATCACAATGCTGGGTAGGCTGGTTAGACATGGTACTACTAAGAATTCACACACTTCCTTAGGCTCCACTGTTGCTATTCCATATTGTCTATTTTGATGTTGTTCTTTTTAAGTTTATCCCAGGCATCAAGTGATTCTGTACTTATTTGGATTTCCTCAAATATGGAAGATAGGTTTCGACTTTTTCTGTTTCATGTAACAAACCCTTGGACCATCTGTTTTCTACTTTCTGTAACTTGGAAGCCATTACCTGTTTGCTTTTCTCCTTCCTTTGTTGGTTTTTAATTTCCCTTTATTTTTTCATACTCAGCTTTCATTTGAATTTTATATCCAGTCATTTTAATAGAAATTAGGGTAAGAGTAGAACTGAATTCAAGCATTTGTTTGCCCTGCTTTACTGGTATTCCAAAAAAAAAAAAAAAACTGATGGGTTAACTTCATCAAAGTTTATTTGAGCGAAGGCAAATAAAATAAAACATGGCAGCACTGCTGATGGACGATTTCTGGAATGTCACACCTACCATGGTATAGATTGTATTCATAGCTAGATACAAGGAAGAGATGTGTAGAAACAATATGATTGGTTGCAATCAGCACTTGCCTTATATTGTTTCAGTTCCTGGTTGGCTGGAGGTTCAGCTCCTGTGATTGGGTAAGACTGAATAGCTTAGTTATTGCGGAATACTTTTAGGTTAAGTTATAGTTTGTTGGCACATAAAACTACAATCTACTGTGTATAGAGTTCACTTTGAGTCAAATTTACAATTTACTATGTAAGGATTAAGATAACTCCCAGAACATTACTGTTGCCTTTGTGAGAGTTGTTACCATCATATGAACGAATCTTTAATTGAAGATATTTTTCAACCTAGAATTTACTGTTACTTGGAGCAACAGCCATAGAAGATCGCCTTCAGGCCGGTGTTCCAGAGACCATAGCAACTCTGTTGAAGGCAGAAATTAAAATATGGGTGTTGACAGGAGACAAACAAGAAACTGCAATTAATATAGGTAATCGATTTTTTTTAAAAAAGTTTCCAGGTCTGGTTTGTTTTTAAAGTGTCTTGTAGATGTATTTCTCAAATGCATTGACACATGAAACATCTTTATTCACAGGGCCGGGGGAAATTTACCTAAATCCAGTGAAGATGCTCTTATAAATACTGTGTGTCTATTACATGCATCAGACTACTGCAGCTTCCTGAGAAGATTAAACTCATTTAGATAGAATATAGAATTCAAGAGTGGACAAGTTACATTTTCTTACTGCTTTCTTCACAAAACTTTACTGAGAGAGCGCATTTTCACTAGAGTTAAATACGCATTGTTATTTTTTATAATTATAAGTAGTTTTTAAAAGAATGTTAAATATTCTTTACTTGATATTATACACAAGCCACACTAAAATGTGTTTCAATAAGTAAAAGGCAGCACTTTAAATGCTAGGCATTCTACTTAAATTGGTAGTAGTTAAGACAAAAAATAAAGACATTGCTTCCTTATCTTCAACGTTGCCTTGAACAGGCAACTAATCATAAGTTGAAACTCAGGTGAGTCTTGCTTGGTTTTGAGATAGTGAAGGGAATTTCCCAGTTTTTAAAAATGTATTCATATAGTATAATGAGTTTATATAAATCTAAAATGAGTCCTCACTATGTTTTGAGATGGTATTCCCCATCTGTGAAAAGTTGAACATTATTAATTAAGTTCAATTATATCTTTAGAAAGGGAAGCGTGACAATATTTACTTAATGACTGGATCATTTTTAAAAAAGACCACATTCACTTAACTACAAGCCAATTTTACTTAAATAAGGACTGTCGAACAAAATTTTTCTGTGAGCCATTCATGACCTGAATTCTGTGTTACGAGATTGTGGCATACATGAAAAGCCATGACACATTTCTGTTTTTCATGTGGCACACATGAAAACATGTAATAAATAAGGCAGTGGGTATTACTCATCGGTAGCTTTTTTGAGATAAGCTATCCAGTCTGCCCTTTCTCCCTCCTTCTTAATGCTAGTGAAGACCATTTGTGTTCCAGGGATGTACTTTCTAGGATTCTCCACTCGCTCCCTCAGTGTATGCTCTCCCCAGGTGATGCCTTTGTTCTTGTTGGCATCTCTGTAAGATGTCTCTGCAAGACATGTCTGTCTTGCACCCAGACAGACCTTGGAGATTTGTCCAAGTCTTGTGCTTGCCTCCCTTTTCCACAGTGTGGCACTGGGCACACTTCTGAACAAAAATCTTGCCTTTCTCAACATCACCCATCTTTAATTCATTCTTTTGTTGTTATCACAATGGAAGAAACTGCTTGGAAGCTGGACACCCTGCTTTCTACTAGTTTTAATGATTTTATAAATTAGCGGGTTTTCCTAAGAGCCTGGCATCTTGCCCTTACATGTTGTGTTTGGAAACTTGCTTGCTGAGCATCATAGAGATGAAAGTTGAAGAAAATTGAAAAAAAAATTTAAGTCAGAATAACATTATTAAGCACATTTAGGCTTGAAAAGGAGTTAAAGCTATGAATTGTTTAAATAATCTAGTTCTAGTTATTTGAAATAGTTTTAAATCATCTGGTACTTTGGTTACCACTGTGGTATAATGAGACCAGTACATATGGCCATACCCTTTAGGTGTCTTTTAGTTGATCTTTCTTGGTGACTACTTCTCAGGATCACACAGTCTTCTCTCCCCTGGAACTTTCCTCCCTTTCATCTGCCGTATCAGTCATATTTGAGCTCCTCTTTGATGTTCCTCAGTATGTTCCTAACAGCCAAGAAACCAGTGCTCTTTGAGAGAGCCATGTCGAGCTTATTCTTTATTCTGCCTTCAGACTTAAGTGTGAAACCAGGGTGATGTTGAGGGATTAAATGTCATTTTCTCATTTAGGATAACTGTGGAAGGCTCAGGAAAGCATATATGTCTAGACATTTCATTAGACTTAAGGCATCAGACCACAGACTGCGACTCTCGAGGCACGCAGCCATGCATGGGTTTAAGCCTTTCTTTTATCCACAGGGAACACGAATCATGAGGCCCTGTTTCCCATAACATTGAACACTAGTAGTGCATTCCATGTGTGTTCTGTGCTGTCCGCAAGGTATTTAGGGGAGGTCTGTTATCTAGCAGTTCCACTTGTAGGCAGATGTAGGGAAAGAGAAAATTGATATTATCTGGCGACACTGTTGTTCTGAAAACTCTTTTTTGTCTTTGCAAGTGAACAATCTTAGAACTCATGGAAAGAATCAGAGCACAGTAAACATCTCTTATCCCAAATGGCTAGGTCAGAAATATTTCAGATGTTACATCTTTAAAATTTTGAAATGTTTGCATAAGCATTTCTGGTTTACCATTCCCAATCCAAAAAATCCAAATCAGTTTCAGATTTCGGAGCATTACAGATTTTAGTTGTTTTAAGATTGCCCAACTTGTGCACAACCTCAGAGCCCTTGACTTCTCTGAAGGCATTCCATAGCTTTCACAAGAACTATTTTCTGAAATTTGGCTTAGAAGACCTGGAGAACGGTACTACTTTTCACCAATTCTAATGTGCACATTGTTTTTATATTCCAACCTCTCTGAAATTGGAATTTTTTCAACAACCATAAAAATTTTAATCGGCAGCATTTTCTTAGTGGAATATGTCACAAGAATTCATCTTTAGATGAGCTTTAGATTTAGTAACATTTATATTTGGTATTTGACTTTCTATCTCAGAGAGAGAGAGAGAGAGAGAGAGAGAGAGAGAGAGGGAGGTTTTTCTTAAAAAAAATTTTTTTTTTTTTGCAGTTGAACCTAGGTTTTGCATGTACTAGGCAAGCCCTCCATCACTGGAAACAAATGTACTTAAAGTTTCAGGATATTTGGGTCTTTTAGGAGCCAGTACTTTTTGTGTAGGTCACCATCTTGCCTGTATTAGTTTGAGATTGGTATGTCGCCAGAATCCTGCAGGGCTTTGCTTCAGCTTATGCTAATTAGCTATTTTCTGAGGAGTAGGCAGTTTTCTTTTTTAGCTTAAATATTTGACATCAACTAGTCTAAAATGAAATTTCAGATGTGTCATTTGTAGATCACGTAGTTGACACTTCTGTGTTAGCACTGGGTAAAGCATCCAGTAAGCAGTTGTGCAGTAGATGAAGTTTCGAAGTCTGTATGTATTTTTTTCTAACAAATGTGGGATGAGTGAGAACAAAATCATAGTGTATATCCCATTTAAAAGTCATTAAATTGGAAATAGCTTTCTTAAGTCATTTCTGAGTTGTAATTCTAAGTCTCCTTGAATTTTGTTACCCATCAAGTGATACTTTCAGACAACTTCTTATGGTCTTACTAGTTTATCTTAACATTTTAAAATAAATTTTATTATATATTTAAGGTATATAATGTTATGGGATAGATTGTCTTAGATGCTTACCTTTAAAAAGTGAATAAATGTGGCTTCTGCTCAGCCCATTGTCACCTACATGTTGCCTTATGCTTTAAGCCGAAGACAAGCTGGGTGGTATCCTTACGGTGCTGGCACGAGTCTTCAATCCTAATGTTGTTTTTCATAGAAAATCCAGACATGTATTTCTTAATTACTTGCAGCTAGCATTTTTGCCAAGGCACTCCACTACAGATTTGGAGAACTTACTTCTCCAGTTGGAGCATGAGTTAATTATAAGACATCTTAGAGAATGAAGCAAATGAGAAAATATTGATTGTGTAGTGTAGATATTAAGCACAGCTGGCTTTGTAATAGTTTTAAGTACATGTTATTGATTATGTGCTAGATCCTTTACACACTCGGCACTGTGAGCGAATCTCCTGGAAGTGATCCATAACCCTCTTTAAAGATCAAATTAAAGCAGAGATGGAGTAACTCAGTCTAGGCCACATGGACATGAGAATGCTTAAGATTTGAGGGCTTCCCAGAAAAAACCAAATGAACAGGAGTTTTAGAACACCAGGCTGCACAGATGAAACAGGTTTAAAACTTGACCTTCTAAGAATGAAAAAGTAAATAAAAAGTTATGGTACATTAGCTGGGTCAAGATGGCCCCATTGGGGAGGAGCTCTTGAGGTAAGGCTGAAGCAGCATGCTGTTCCAGGTGATGAGGGTCCCTGAGCAGGACCTGGGTCTGGAGGGAAGGTGCCCACAAATATAGTTCTGCAGATGAACCATCACCTTCTTGGCTGTCTGGATGATGGACTCTGGAGAGGATCCTGACCCATCAGGAGTAGCTTAAGAGACCACCTCTTATCATCGATTGATGGTACCTGCTAGAGTTTTTCATACACTCCCACTCAACTGGCCAAAATTGATGGGCCAGAATCTTTGTGAAAATATTTAGAAGCAACAACACACTTTTTGAGGGTTGGTACCATGTTGAATCACAATCATGGGCAGCCTGGTGTTGCTGTGGTCCTGAGATGCATGATTAGTAAGGATAAATTATTCCTTACCTTTCTAGAATGTCTCTGAAGAAATCTGGATTTAGATATCTTTGACAAAGTGAGCTTAACTCCTCATATCTCCCCTCTCCCAAAAAAAGTAAAAATAAGGATACTTATTTTTATTGTCTTAAAATCAAGTCCTGGAGACCATTTGGGGGCGGGAACCAGTAGGAAGAGGGAGGATGAAAGGAAAGGATGGGGAGGATAAATATGATCAAAGTACTTCATATATATGAATAGAATGATGAAATTCATTAAAAGTGTTTGAAAAGGGTGGACTAGAGAGAAGAAAGTAATAGAGGGGATGAATTTTAATCAAAGTACATTGTATGCTTGTATGGAAATATCACAATGAAACCACTTTGTGCAATTAATATATGCTAATAAAAAATAAAATCAAGGCCTACCCTGAGTATTATAGAAGTGGGATATTTTGTGTGCCATAGAAGTGAAAAGTGTAATATTTTGATTTCTTTGAGTTTTGATTATACTCAGGTAGTAGAAAGACTAAATACTTTTGTAGCTCTCTGTTAATTTCAGCTATAGTAAAAAGGGAAATAAATCCCAGAGGTGTTTCTCTCAGTCACTTTATGGCTGTCTTGTTAGATTGAAAGATTAAAGGACTAGACCTCAGGTTACAAGAGTGGATCGACTTTCCCTACCTGGCTTTTCTCCAAGAGTTGATCTCATGTTATCCAAAAACATTAGAATCAAGCACTCCAAACTTGGATTGGCATGATTTAATTTGTTGCATTAAATCACAACTAACTAGATTAAACTTCCCATGGTCTGTCTAGGGCAAGTGTTCTGTGTGATAATTCTTTAAGCAAAAATCTTACTTCATTTTCCAAATTTATTAAAAAGCAAACTTAATTTGTTTCTTTTCAGAAGCCTTTAGTTTTGTGTATTCAAATGCATGAAACAGTGTCAGTAGTTTTATTTATTTTCTTCTTTCTGCCATGGCTACAAAAAATACTTAGGGACTTAGGGTTTTCCTGTAATATCTTTGTGTAGCTTCAGTTGTCAAATGCCATTTTGCTTAAATTGAAAAATATAAAATAAAGCAGAAAGCCAGGGCTTAAAAAATTACAGCTTACTTTTGCAGCTGTTGTTCAAATAAAACACTGGCAGCAAATTCCCTCACATTAGTTATAGTAAGTTTGTAGCAGTCTGTATTACGGGAAGTCCCTGGAAGCCTCTGGGGTGAATGGTGTGCCTCACATAGAAGGAAATGATTGAAATTGCAATACCCTCTTTTGTAAGTAAAAATAAGATGGAGACATCTCTTCTGAACTTACTCTAAGAATTGAAGAATGCATTTGTAAAATGATAATGGGAAACAAAGAATTTAAGAGTGTTTCACTTCTGCCCATCACTGTTGTTAAAATAGACTTGAAAATGTGTACAAAATTGTTTCTTCCCTCTTAGTTTTTTTTTCAGAAACCTAATAGCTATTTGCCATATGGTACTGCAATTTTAAAATTTCAGTTTCTTTTAAAAATACCTGTTGAGTTTAACAAGAGACAGCATTTCCTTGATGTAAATGTTGTTAAGCATATCTTTTTTGATATGAATTTTGAAAAGAATATTTCAATTAAAACCTGTAATTTTCTGCTTTAAAATTTGTCTTCTGAGGTGCTTTACAAAATATTTCTTCCAAATGACAATCATGAGTGAAGGATATACTTTGTACATTCCAAAATAAGCAAAAACACTTACTGCTTCCCCATCCACCCCCCCAAAAAAGTGCAGAGGTTCTTCTTGGTTTTAATTTCTGTTTTTAGTTCTGCTTTGAGCCTTTATTGGGGTTTCCCAAGGGTGGCAAGATAAAGTCCTGAGTAGGAAGGACACATGGACATAGAGCTTGGTTTCTTACCCATTTGTCAAGTGCAAGTCTCCTCTTCTGGGTCACTGTAGCATGGTGAGAGTAGATGTCTCAGGTGTCCTATAGGGAGAAGCCAGAGTCCTCCTAGCTTTAGGAACAATATGGTTAAGGCACATCTCTAAGATTGTCACACACTTGCTGAGTTTGAAATTCTACAGGCTGATGAGTCGTTTACTCTTCCATTATCCAAGGTGCTGTGAAAAACACAGGTTGTGAGGTCATTTTCCAAGGTGAAACAATTCCTTTCTTGCCTTTTCTCAATGAGAGAAATTAGAAGGGGCTGATTAAAGGCACCTCCTGATGCCAGCCCTCTCCTGGGCCCCAAGAGGATGCAGGTGATTGAAAAATTGAGCCCTGGCAGACACCATGGGTCTTCTGTTGCTGGAGCCATGTCTTTCCTAGTGTGCCTGTGGGTTTGAGGGGGTGGGGGCTCCTGTCTTGGTCTGTGATTGGTCATTTGTGAAGGAAACAGCTTCAGAGAAACTATGTTCTACTCCTGGGAGAAAAGAAGAAAATTCCTTTCTTTCCCTACAGAGATAACTTGATTTAAAAATGAAATTGAAGTTGTTGATACTAATTAGGAATCCTTTTTTCCCCAAACCTTTTGTTTTTCAAAACTTAGCTTTAATTCTTGAAATGGAGATTACTTTGAATTTTTGGCAGGAAAAGCATTCCCTCCGAGAACAGTAACATTCCATTGCAACTTGCGAGAATTACCTAGTTTTTAAAAAGGAGCTGAGGGACCTTGCTCTGCTGAACGGGAGCACTGTCAGATCCCATTTGTCTTCTGAAAGTGTTTGCTGTTATTTCAGATAATCCAAGGCTCAGCCTAATGTTATACAAGGATAACGAGGATAAAGACAAATCCACAGAAAATCGACAAGTATTTATTTTAGTCTTTGGTTATAAAGACCTCAGCCAGTTCGATTCATGCTGTCTGCAAGAGTCAAAATCAATTTAGGCTTCCGTTTCCTTCAATCTTGCTCTGTGTGAGTGGAAATTCACACTCTTTGTGAATGGAAATAAGGTAGACCTAAGAAGGGGGTTGAATTCAATAAGCCATTGAGAACTTAGGAACTTACTGGAGGAATGATAAACTCATGTGTTGCCTTTCTCTGCTTAGGGTATTCCTGCCGACTGGTATCACAGAACATGGCCCTCATCCTATTGAAGGAGGATTCTTTGGATGTAAGTAGTTTCCCAAAACTGTACTTCATCTAGCTGTATAACACTCTTTGTTTACTTCTACCATGATCAGTTTATTATAATTGCTTAAAAGCAATTACAAGACTACTGTGATTATTTTGTTTGTATTTATGAATAGCTGTCATAAAGCTTTATCCTAAACATCAAAGTATTATAAGCTTAGAATATTGCTTCATGATTATATTTTGCTCATCTAGTATTGGGCATTTAAAATGGAACAGTTGTGAGCTGGTTTGGCTTTAGTTGTTAGATATGAAGTATTTACATGAAGCAGTGGGACCAATTATGATTTACATGAAGAGATGATGGTGAACGCCTGTGTAAGTTACTAGGGATTTCCTTTCTAGTAGAAACCTCAAAGTAAAGCTAATAGTCGTGTGTGTGAAGAGTTGTTGAAGTTTACATAGTAATAGAATACATGTGCACTTAATTCCCTAACACTGATGCCACTGGCTCATAGAGAACTGAACAGCATGGCCCTCTGAGTACTTCATAGGCAAATGCCTACCCAATCTTGGCTTCAGATCCCTGCAGATTCTGGGGTGGGAGCTGATTCAAGGGTAGTCAGTGACCTGTGAAGTTGTTTGATAGGAAAATGTGAGCTGAACGTGAGATTCATTTGCTAAGACTCTTAACAAGTTTTGGCAAGCACCCACAGTCACCCTTCCTGCAATATGTTTAATACCAATTCTAGGAGCAGATGGTGGGGTTATTATACTTTTAAAGGGAAGAGACAATAGAGAAGTTTGTATTTGTACAAACTGGGGAGGTCCACTAGTGTGAAGATCAAGATGCTTTCTACCCCTCCCCTGTCCCAAGGGCAGGAGTTAGGAACAGAGCCCATAGTTGTGGGTCTCTGATGCACCACTGGCAAGATCGCAGCATTGGTCTGAATGCTTCCAGGCTCATCTCAGTGTAGCTTTTTTCCTTGTTCATGCCAGAGCTGTGCATTAGTTAGTTCTCTGTCACTATACAAAACACCTGAGATAATCATCTTGTAAAAAGAAAAGGCTTATTTGGCTCACAGTTTTAGAGGTTCCACTCCATGGTTGGTTGGCCCCATTGTTTTGGGCCGTGTGGAGGTAGCACATTGTGGTGGGGGTGTGTGGCAAAGCAAACCCCCTCACCTCATGGCCAGGAGACAAAAAAAGAAGAGGATGAAGCTGGGACCCCCAATCCCCTTCAGGGGAATATCCCCCAAAGACCTCCTACTAGGTAGGTCCTACCTCTCAAAGATTCCTCTATCTACCAGTAGTGCCACTCTGGGGACCACGCCTCTAACACATGGGTCTTTGAGGGGTCATTCAGCATCCATATTATAGCAGTCTGCAAGAAGCAAGCTCAGGTCATGCCTAATCTTCTGGACTGTACTTCTTACGTGTTCTGCATTACTGAGGAATCCTCCCCTGTATGCAGGGTTCTAGTCTCCCCAAGCTCCCCATCCCACTTGTCTTTATTTTTCATCATTGGAAACACTGTGTGTGATGTGTGCACAAATTGTGAAGTACACCATAACCATTTTTAAGTGCACAGTTATATGGCATTTAGTACATCCACATTGTTGCTTGGCCAGCACCACCGTCAGTCCATCTGTCTCCAGAACCCTTTTGTCTTCCCAAACTACAATTTTTGCCAATTAAATAACAGGACCCCATTTCTCCTTCCCCCAGCCCCTGAAGCCATTATTCTACTTCTGCCTGTGGGAATTTGACTACTGCAGGTTGTTTGGCCATCTCATGTTTGTACTTCTGAGTGTTGCGAGTGACTTGCTTCACTTAGCATAGTGACCACAGGGTTCATTCATATTGTGACATGTGGCAGATTTCCTTCCTTTTTAAGGCTGAATAGTACTCTGTGGAATGTATACTGTGTTTTATCACCGATTCCCCTGTTGCTGGGCATTAGGGTTGCTTCCATCTCTTGGCTACTGTTAGTACTGCTCCTGGGAACACAAGTGTACAAGTGTCTCTTCAAGACTCTGCTTTCAGTTCCTCCAGAAGTGGAGTTGCTGGATCCTGTGGTAGTGTGATGTTTCACTTTTGAGGAGATGCCATGTTGTTTCCCACAGTGGCTACACCATTTCACATTTAGACCAGCAGTGCTAACAAAGATTCTGATCACTCCACATTCACTAAATCTTGCTGCCACTCCTCCTCCTCCTCCCTCTGTAGCTGTCCTAACAAGCCTGAGTAGTATTTCAGTGTGGGTTTTGTGATTTTGCATTTCCCTAGTAACTAATGACATTGCATACCTTTTGTGTGTGCTTATTGGCCATTTGTATATTGTCTTTAGAAAAATATCTGTTCAGTCCTTTGCCCGGTTTTTCAATTAGTTTTGTTTTTTTCTGTTGTGAAATACTTTATAATCTCTCTTTTTTCCTCCATCCTTTTTTTTTGGCAGTATTGGAGTTTGAACTCAGGATCTCATGATTGCTAGGCAGGCTTTCTACCACTAGAGCCACTCCAGCAGCTAGTCTGTGTTTTTTCATATGATTGAGAACCTCACACTACATTTGGGTTCTTCTCTCTCAATCAGAATTTGGAGAATCTTTTCCCTCAGAAGCTTCAGTCATCAATATGACTTACTAGTCCTGTGTTGTCTGTTGTCCAGTGTGTAAAGCAGTTGCTTCATACTTTTTTCACTTTTCTAGTTTTTAAGTCTGGTATGCTGGTTTATCACTCCTGCAAAGAGAACTTGAGTTCACCTCTGCTTCTTACAGGATGTCTTTGATAAATACTGATTTTGTGGTTATTTAAATAACTGTTTTCATACTGCTTGTTGTGGATAATTAGTACCATTCTTCCTTTGAAGATTGGGTCATGAGTACCTTGAAGCCAGGCAAATGAAATAGTTAACATCAGTTTCTCACCTTTCGGCTGTTTCTTACAACTACTTCTTTTTTTTTTCTTTTATTATTCATATGTGCATACAAGGCTTGGTTCATTTCTCCCCCCTGCCCCCACCCCCTCCCTTACCACCCACTCCACCCCCTCCCTCTCCCCCCCTCAATACCCAGCAGAAACTATTTTGCCCTTATTTCTAATTTTGTTGTAGAGAGAGTATAAGCAATAATAGGAAGGAACAAGGGGTTTTGCTGGTTGAGATAAGGATAGCTATACAGGGCATTGACTCACATTGATTTCCTGTGCATGGGTGTTACCTTCTAGGTTAATTCTTTTTGATCTCACCTTTTCTCTAGTTCCTGGTCCCCTTTTCCTATTGGCCTCAGTTGCTTTAAGGTATCTGCTTTAGTTTCTCTGCGTTAAGGTCAACAAATGCTAGCTAATTTTTTAGGTGTCTTACCTATCCTCACCCCTTCCTTGTGTGCTCTTGCTTTTATCATGTGCTCAGAGTCCAACCCCATTGTTGTGTTTGCCCTTGATCTAATGTCCACATATGAGGGAGAACATACGATTTTTGGTCTTTTGGGCCAGGCTAACCTCACTCAGAATGATGTTCTCCAATTCCATCCATTTACCAGCAAATGATAACATTTCGTTCTTCTTCATGGCAGCATAAAATTCCATTGTGTATAGATACCACATTTTCTTAATCCATTCGTCAGTGGTGGATTACAGCTACTTCTGATACCAAATATAAGGACAGTCAGAGTTCAGTGTAGGAAATTGTGACCATTAAGTTCTGATCCAGAGATAAAGCTACTGTAGTGATTTCAACAGGGTGGCTTTAATGTAAGTACTGATAATTAAGTCTAGAGTTTGGTGGGGTGTGGTGCTTCACAACTGTAATCCCAGCTATGTGGGAAGCAGCAATGGGGGAATCATGGTTTGAGACCAGCCTAGGCAAAAAGTTAGTGAAACCCCCATCTCAATAAACAAGCTGGTTGTGGTGCTGCACATCTGTAATCCCAGATTCATGGGAGGCATAGGTAGTCAGTTCGCAGTCTGAGGCCTGTCTGGGCAAAAAATGCAAAATGGGAGACTCTAGATGAAAAATAACCTAAAGCAAAATGGGCTAGAGGTGAAGCTCAAGTGGTAGAGTAAAGCCCTGAGATCAAACCCCATTACTGCCCCTGCAACAAAAGTGTAGTTTGTTAGCTAGGTAACCGAGCATGTTAATAGACTCTGGATTTTTTTTTTTCTGGTGGCACTGATGTTTGAACTCAGGACCTCATGCTTGCTAGGCAGGCACTTACTACTTGAGCTACTCCTCCAGCCCCCTGAGCATGTTAAAAGCGAAGTCTAAGGCAGAAGTTGGCAAACCACAACTCTCAGGAGGACTTTGCTGTGACAGCTGCTTCTGCAAATAAAGTTTTATTGAGCACAGTGGCCCCCAATCCCACTGCCAGGTTGAGGGAGGAACTCTCAGGAATTACAAGCAGACTGAGGCGAACAGGAAGGAGATTTCTTTTTTTACGTTTCTTTTTTATTATCACATTATTGTTGTACTGGGGGTACATTGTGACATTTACAGAAGTGCTCACGATATATCTTAGTTAGATCCACCCCCTCCATCATTCTATTTATCCTCCTCTGCTTTCTTGGAACAGTTTCAACAGGGAAAGAGAAGGTTTCCTGTTCCACCTGCAGACTTGCAGCCTCTCTGGCCTGCCTGCAGAGCCTCACAGGCTGTGAAGTGTAAATGGAGTGGGTGCCCAGTGTCACTAGCTGAAATAGAAGGGTGGGCCTGAGGCTGAGCGATGGTAACTCAGTAATAGTCAGGAAGCTGACTTCAAGTATAAAGGAAATTAATACAGGAAATTAGATGTTTCTAAAATTACTGAGAAAACTAAAGAGGCAGAGGCTAGCAAGTCTCAGGGGGCTCCAGGTTCCTGCCTCTACAGCTTGGCTAAGGTCAGAACACTGTTGAAGCCTCCCCAACCCCAGGGCACTTCAGGACAGGCCTGCTGACATCCCCACTTCGCTACCCTGTGAAGCTGGAATGAGATGTCGTCTTTCCAGTCTACACAACTGCACCTTACTGATAGAGTCTACCCAGAATCCTGTATACTAGGGAGTCTG